CCATCCCCATCTCCATCCCCATCTCCATCCCCATCTCCATCCCCATCTCCATCCCCATCTCCATCCCCATCTCCATCCCCATCTCCATCCCCATCTCCATCCCCATCTCCATCCCCATCTCCATCCCCATCTCCATCCCCATCTCCATCCCCATCTCCATCCCCATCTCCATCCCCATCTCCATCCCCATCTCCATCCCCATCTCCATCCCCATCTCCATCCCCATCTCCATCCCCATCTCCATCCCCATCTCCATCCCCATCTCCATCCCCATCTCCATCCCCATCTCCATCCCCATCTCCATCCCCATCTCCATCCCCATCTCCATCCCCATCTCCATCCCCATCTCCATCCCCATCTCCATCCCCATCTCCATCCCCATCTCCATCCCCATCTCCATCCCCATCTCCATCCCCATCCCCATCCCATCCCTGCCCAGTTTGTGCCACGCTCCTCTCCAGGGGCAGCTCCCGGTGCCAGGGCAGAGCAGGACAGGAGGCTCCTGCAGGGGAGCAGGAGAGGCTGTGGAAGGGCTGAGCAGGGCAGGAAGGAATGGCCAGAGCCAGCACCTCCCTTCTGCAGGAGCAGGGCTGCCCAACGAGCCACTGAGACTGTTTGACAATTAGCAGCAGTACCAGGAGTAAATGATTTCCTTCTCAGAGAGAGGAATCAAGGAGCTCCACTCCATCTTTTTCCATATTCCAGGAGGTTGGTGCCAGCCAGTCCATCTGCAGCAGCTGGGGCAGGCCCTGTCCAGCTGCCAAAGCACAGCAGATATAAACAGTGCTCCAAACAAAGGTGGTGTGTGTCTGAGAGACCCTGGAAAACCTCTCCCTCCTGGGAGCTGTCGGAGGCACAAATGGATTTCTATTGTGTTATTTCTGGAGAAAAATAAAGGTACAATAATAACAAACACCTAATAGAAAAACCTAATAGAATTAGAAAAATCTAATAAAGGTAAAACCCCTAATTTTTCTAATTAGAAAAACCTAATAAATCCAGAAAAAGACTGGAAATGTTGCACAATGGACAGAGACAGGCAGGATTGCCACAGCAAAACACTGAGCAAAGAACAGAAATTCAACTTACCCTTAAGCAGGACAAGAGAAAGCCCCAAGGAAGAGCTGCTGGTTAAAAAAAAACTAACCCAGAGCTGACTTCAGATTCCAAACCACAGCACTGCCAAGCTTTCTGCACCTTCCCACCTGCTCCCTTTCCCCTTCAGTTTGCTTTCAGAGAGCAAGAACCTCTGTGGCTCACGTGTGACACCCCACAAAGCAGTGCTGCTCGAGGGCTGCAGGCACTGCTCCACGGAGCTGCACCAGCCCAGCCTGAGCTGCAGAACCTCACCAGGGAGACCCGCAGTGCCAGGGGGCAGCCAGGGCCACAATCCACCCCAAGAGACACAAGTGCCCGGCCTGGTGCCCTGGCAGGGGGCAGTGAGAGTAACAGGGACATACACAACTCAAAAATTGGCCACGTTTTTGATGGATTGGGGTGTTTGCCACCATTTTGGAATTCCCTGTTCCTCCACAAGTCAGGCAGTTGTTGAAAGGACACACCACACTCTAAAACACATTCTAGATCAACAGGAGGGAGTGGCCCAAGCAACACCTCAGATGAGATTAAGCAAAACTTTATATGTCTTTAATTTTTTTTTAATTTCTCCCCAGTGTGAGAAATTATACTCACTTTCAAAATATTTAAAAGGTTTATTAAAACCTTATCAAAAATACAACAGAAGACTGAATAGAGAAAATATTACAGCACTGGAGCAGAGGATTTTCCCCACCATGTGCTCACCCACACCATGGAGGTTTCCCCTTTTAACCCTCTAGCCCCTCTCTCCATCGACTCCTTCCCTGCCCAGTGGTGGAGTTCATTCCCTGACACCTTGATTGGAGCTCAGGTGCTGCCATAATAACGGGCTGACCCTCCCAAATGTCCCAAACCCAGGCCAGCCCTGATAACAACACAAGGGGGTACAACACAACTCTAAATCTATAAAACTTCTCCTAACATATGTACAGGATATTTGCCTTTGAATTGTGAGAGTCACCCATCTCATTACTCATCTACCACACCAATAAAAGGGAGTTGTGCCACGCTGTGACAGGAGGGCAGCACATTCCTCATGCTTGGATTTGCAGGTGGATGAGACAAGCAGCAATCCATGGTGCAGGACAAGCCAGAGGCCCCACACCAGGAAATGTCCCTGAGCCTGAAAACTGGTTTGTCCAGCACCAGGGAGCCTGTGGAGCAGGGAGATGGAATGAAGAGCAGTCTGGAGATGGAATGAAGAGCAGTCTGGGGTTGGGTACCCCTGCTCTGGCTTTGCACAGTGACTGCAGGTCAGTGCAGCCATGGGCTACCCACCTCACACCACTGCTGAATGCCACTGGATCAGCCTCACCTGGCCAGGCAGGGCTTTGCTGCAGCCCAGCCTGCAGGGAAGCACAGCCCAGAGGCAGGAATGGTGCCAGTCTGCCCCCCTGGCACAGCCTGGCAGCCGGGCAGCTCTCGCCAGGAGCAGGAGGAGAATGGAGCTCACGCCTCAGTGCCCTGCACAATGCTCCTGAGCCCAACCCAGCACGGACCCAGAGCTGCAAACACATCCCCACTTCCCTTCCTTGCCTTGTGTATTTACCAAAGGCTCTCCTTGGCTTCTCAATAACAGAATTCACCTCAGCTGCAGGAGGTCACTGTCATTGCCCTCAGGAGGACAAGAAAACTTTCCTCCATGCTGTGTTGCCACTTACACACACCCTCCTTCCTGCTGGTTCCATCTCCTTTCCCCCCAAAATTTATATCCCCACTGTGTAAAAATCCAACAAGCTGCTCCCTATGTGCCCTTCCCTATCAGTGTGCAGTGGGATCATGTTGGATCCTCAGCACCTCCACCTGCATTTAGCTGAGGCTGTGCTGTTTCTGTTTCAAGGGAGGGAGGGAGGGAGGGAGGGAGGGAGGGCTCTCCTTGGCTTCTCAATAACAGAATTCACCTCAGCTGCAGGAGGTCACTGTCATTGCCCTCAGGAGGACAAGAAAACTTTCCTCCATGCCGTGTTGCCACTTACACACACCCTCCTTCCTGCTGGTTCCATCTCCTTTCCCCCCAAAATTTATATCCCCACTGTGTAAAAATCCAACAAGCTGCTCCCTATGTGCCCTTCCCTATCAGTGAGGAAGGAAGGAAGGAAGGAAGGAAGGAAGGAAGGAAGGAAGGAAGGAAGGAAGGGACAGTGGCCCCATGGCCTGGCTCCTCCCCACCTGGGCTGTGGTCTAGAGAGATAATAAATAATAAGAGATAAAAGGACATACCAGGGAGCTCATAAAGAGGGACAAGGACATTTATAAAGTTAGATAGTGATAGGAACAAGGGGAATGGCTTCCCACTGCCAGAGGGCAGGGATGGATGGGATATTGGGAAGGAATTGTTCCCTGTGAGGGTGCAGAGGCCCTGGCACAGGGTGCCCAGAGCAGCTGTGGCTGCCCCTGGATCCCTGGGAATGTCAAGGCCAGCCTGGACAGGACTTGGAACAACCTGGGCTAGTGGAAGGTGTCCCTGCACATGGCAGCAGTGACACAGGATGGTCTGTAAGGTCCATTCCAGCCCAAACCATTCTGGAATTCTACTATCGGCTGTCTCTACTATGACCTTACAAAAAGAAAAAACCCACCACAATGCAAGCACAATTATATTCTCTTTTCTCAGCTACTAAAAGTGCAGTTCATCACGGGAACTTGGCCATTTTACAAAGTGATAATTTTCAGTCACTGTTTTTGAGCAAAACCATAGGATTTCCAGTTGGAACACAACAGCAGATCCAGTTCATGTGGAAATTTGATCCTTTATCTCCTGCTGGCTGTTCTTTAACACCTTGGTTACTACAATCCAGTAAATATTTCCTTTTACACCAGGCAAAATCACGTCAGCAGAAAACAGAAAAGGATTTAACAAAATGGGAAGAACAGGAATGAGATACTGAGGTGCTGGGTGTATGAAATTGGAGGAAAGTTTGCTGTGGCTTTGAGCCACCTCCCCAGAAAACAAATCACAGTGAGCACCAAGAGCACTGACACAGCAGCACAACTGTCATGGTCACAGCACTGCAACACGAGCCCAGGAGGAGCTGGACTTCAGCTTCCAGCCTGGATTTGGGCTGCCAGAACCACCCCATGGCCTTACACCCTGTCTCGGGTGCAGCTGGCTGTGCATTCTGTCCCCATCTGTCAGAGCTGGGCAGTTCTCTGCTGTTCATGGGGCAGTTTTCTCCATCTCTCCCACAGCCAATCCTCCCTCCAGCAGATCTCTGCTGTCCATGGCCAGGGAGTGTCCCTGCAGGGCTGATCAAATTCCAGCATCCCATGGGGAGATGCTGTGCCCAGGGCAGGAGCCAAGCATTCCTACCTGGATCCAATCTGAGCCTGGAACAGCACAGCAGCCTTTGCCCACTGCATTCCCAGAGGAGCAGCTTTCTCCTGCCCTGCATTGCCAGAGGGAGAGCAGGCCCTGCTCCAGCAGCCCTGGAGCTGCAGAGGAAAACTGCAGCCTTGTGCAGGATCCCTGCTCCAGCAGAAGCACAGCTGGCACTGCAGGAGGGCTGAGCCCCCATGGGATGGGACTGTGCCACCACCCTGACCCACAGGGGGTCAGTTCTGACTCTGGCAGTGGTTTGTTTTCTTTGTACTATTGCATTTGTATTTTTAGTTTTCCTGTTAAAGAACTCTTATTCCTATTCCCATATCTTTGTCTGAGAGCCTCTTAGTTTTAAAATTATGACAATTCAGAGGAAGAGCATTTACTTTTTCCATTTCAGGGGAGGCTCCTGCCTTCCTCAGCAGACACCTGTCTTTTCAAACCAAGACACACCCCTGAAGCACAGGTGCTCCCCAAGCAGAGCATTGCTCCAGCCCAGCAGGAGAGGGGAGCAGGGATGCAGAGGACAGCTGAGTGCAGGAGGATTGTGGCAGTGTCAGGTTTAGGGCTGAACTCCATGATATCAAAAGGTCTTTAGGAACTTTAATGATTCTGTGACTTTGTTTGTGGCCTGTGTTCTAGGAGGAGATACTGCAGAAGGGCTGGGAAAACCCCAGCGTGTCCAAAGCTGCCACATGGCAACACTCAAACTCCTCCACCACCTCTGGGCTCCTCACAAAGCTCAGCATCCTCCTGGGTTTCCCACATCTGCTTCTCCAGCAGAAAGATCAGCTCCAGACACAGCCTTTAAGAAGCTGGTAGGGTTGGAGAAGAGAAGGAAAGGGTCATTTTAGAAGCTGTTTGCTCCTAAGGGGGCCTTTGGCTCAGTCCACCTGCACACCCTCAGGCAGCTCAACCACCACAGGGGCACAGTCATCAGGCTCTGCCTCAAAGTCCCATCTGAATTTCTTTGTCAGGTGAGCCTTGAACTTCTCAGCCTTGTTTCTCAGAGCCTCATCCACAGCAGAGCTGCACGTGCAGGAGAACAGCACCTGAAACAAAGAGCAGAGGTCAAGGAGAGCCCAGCCATGGCACCAGCTGGGCACCTCCTCCCTACAGGGACACCAGGGAGCCAGGCTGGGATCTACACCCCGGGACTATTGCAACTTTGGGGGGACCCAATCAAAGCCCACCCTTCTCACAGCCCAAGCCCATCCTGCCTTCACACCACTGAGTCAGCATCACACACATCTGTGCTCAGGTGAGAACTCTGTCTGAAGCAGGAGTGTGTTTCTAACTGAATTTGTACTGTGGAATTCTGAAATATGCCACAGGGTGAGCTAAGGAAAACGTCTCGATAGAAGGCATTTAAAAAATTCAAATACAAGTAGGCAAATTTCCAGCGACTGTCCAAAAGGCCAGCAATTAATTGCACTCCTCATTTCCATGGGTAGAGATCTTCCAAAGTATTTTTGTAATATGGTATTACCAAAACTTCAGGATACATAGGAAACTTAATGAAAATACCTTAAATGTCAGAAAGGAATGGGAGCTCTCTGGAAAAATCTTGGTTACCCCAGCACAACCACTCCCTTGTGCAGAGGGTGCTGAAGTGTGGAGGAACCTCTGCCTTCCACTCCCAAACACAAACCTATTAATGTGTCACAAATTCACAGCCTCTGCTGGACCTCAGGGGGAAATCACCTGTGTGATGAACAGGGCACTGAGCCTGAGCCCAGCCCAGCCTGGTTCTGCTCCTCCTGAACTTGTGATCCAGAAGTAATTGCCATAAAAAGAAATCTCCTCTGGGGAAAACACAGCCTCTTATTTACTGAAAGCTGGATAAAACACTGACAATGAGCAGCAAAGTTCTCTGCTTTGTGGGTGAATATTTGCCTTCTTCTTGCTCATTCTACTGGAAAACTGCCTCTTTCTAACAGAACTCTTACACAGCAATGCTGCTGGTAGGGAAAAATGATTAGAAGATTATACATCCAACTTCTTCTCAATGAACTGCACATTAAATTAATTATTTCACTAAGCTGTTTTTTTTCTTTAAGCACTGGTAGGGGACAGAGTCACTGGTGGCTGTGCTGTGCTCTTCTTGCCTTGGATCAAACTCCAAAAATAAAGCTGCTGCTTCCAGAGCTGAGCAGGAGCTGCAGGGACAGTGCCCTCCCCAGGGCCAGCTGAGGCAGAGAATTCTGAAGTCTGTGTGTGAAGTGAGGGCAAGGCAAAGCCCAGAGCTTCCCTGGCTCCACTTCAGGGAAACCCCACGGGAGCAGAGCAGTGGAGAACTCAGTGAGGAGGGGCTCAGTTTGCAAGGCTTTCCTTTGTCCCTGGGAATGTGGTGACTCCTGCCAGGGCTTCGGGGTGATCCTGACACCAGCACAGCTCCTGCTGAGGGAGTGAAACAGAGACTGAGGGAGCCCAGGGGTGGACAAGACTCAGGCAGCCAGAAGCAGCAATAAGGGATTCCCAAAGTCCCCTCAGGAGGAGAGAATGGCTGGTTGCCATATTCTGGGTACTGCTGTGAACTGACAGCACTGCTCTGAGTGTGCTGCAAACACACCTGGGCTGTCCAGTCCTGTAGTGGGATGGAAAAAAATCCAGCAACAGAAATAAAATGTAAATTAAACCCTCCTAAGACTTGTAAGAATCACAACTGAAAAATCTGAAAGCCACTTGGTTGAAGCAATGCTTTCCAAAACATTTCACCCAGCAATTAAACCCAAATACCTTCACCTTCCCAGAAGTACAGCAAGAACCTGGGGTCAGCAAGGGGAGGAATGGAACTGCACCTGCAGCAGAGCTTCCTGCTGGGCTGGCTCCCATGGCTCAGCTTTATCAGTGTGTGTGATTTGGGCTTTTTTTTGTAAACTAAGCCAGTCTGCTGCACTGCCAGCATGGTCACCATCAGTGGGTTACTGCTTTCACTGGGGCTGAGGCACAGACCTGCCCCAGCTGTCTCAGCAGAGGCAGCATCTTTTGCATTTTGGAATAACCATAAATTCCCTCTGGAGAAGAACCCAACTACAGGACATCCTCAGCTGTGCTAAACAATGGAAAAGCTTCTTAAACACCATCACTGCCCTTAGCTCAATAAAGCTTTGCTGCAGCTTCCCTGCACACTGAACAAACCGTTCCAAAAACCAGCATCATCAGTCCTTCATGCCAAAGTTTTGTGTGTTGTTTTTTCTTTTGAAGAATGAACGGCACTTTGGAAAAATTAAACAAACAGACACCACGCTGCACTTGCCCAGCCTCTCTTGTAGCTGTTGAGCTGAAGCTGAATATTGAACATTGAATAACAGAGGTAAAAAGTCAAAGCAAAGCCCTGTGTGCTCAGATGGGCTCCCATCTCCCACACAGCTTACCTCCTTTGGCAGCTTCTCCCCAGATGTGATGGATGCCCTCCCTCCCACTCCATTTCCCAGGGAACAGCCCCAAACACACCTGTAAGGTGCTGGTTAAAAAGTTGTCCTGGGAAACAATGTCCACAAAAAAATCTGCTGGGATCTCGTTGAGCTGGTGGTAGAGCACAGAAATGAGGTTGATGTAAAGGTCTTGGTACTTCCCTATGGCCTCCTCCGAGCGGCACAGCATGTTCAGGAGCCTCTTCCAGTGCTCAAAGGCATCGTACACGTTCCCAATCAGGAAGCAGATGAAGGCAAACTGCAACTCAGCTGTGTGGGTTCAGAGAAGGGAAACAAAACAAAACACGTAAGACTAAACAGATATCCTGGGAATGTGTCCTCCACAAAGCTCTGCAATTGATTTCTAAATTCTGGTTTGGCTTTTGCAAAGTGCATTCATACCTCAAACACTGACCCTGTGCTGCTCTTCAGCCAGAGCAAAGCAAAGCAGGACAGGGCAGGTCACCTGTAACTGTGATTATCAGCACTGGAGAGGGACTCCAGACACCAAACAACACCAAACAACAGCCCCAAACATCAAGGCAGACCCTGCTGTTGTTCTGTGAGTGTTCACCCTGCCTGTGCTGAGTGTCCAGCATCACATGGGACTGCAAACACTACTGTCCTGGAATTCTGGGAGAGGTCAGCAGTGCCTCAACCAGTGTGTTTGCCTTGCTGAATTAAGAGCCAGGGTTCATCACACTGGATGCTTGGTATCACCTGCTTTGCCACCATTCCCTAAGGTAATTTTTTCTCTCTACATCCTATGGTTGTCTTTGGTAATTTTGAAAAAGAATAAATTGTGTAACGCTAACATACAAAAAACTGAAGAGACAAAAAAGGTTTATTCCAAACCTGGGTTCCAGCTGGGAGGGCTTCTCCCTCCATCCTGCAACAAAACAAACCCCTGCTCCAGAACCTCCATAAACCCAGCATTTATTTGTACACAGGTTGCAAAACAGGGTGGGGAGCAGCTGAGCTCTGGGAGATGTGGTGTCCCCACAGCAGGGGTGGCACTGCCACTGTCACCAGCAGCACGTGGAGCACACAGAGCTGTGCCAGGAGGGGCTGGTCCCTGCAGCAGGACCAGGCCCACAGCCCCTGCCCAGCCCAACAGGAGCTGCTGTCTGGGGGTGCCCATCCCCACCTGATGCTCCCAGGACTCTGTAAGGTATGTCCTCAAGAGGATCCCTGAACAGGTAAGGTGCCAGACACCAGGGCCACCTCTGATGGCTGCTTTTGGCTTCATTGGGGCAATCTGGGCTGCAGCACCATGTTCCCACACCAGAGTCATAGAACAGAATCACACAACATCCTGAGTGGGAAGGGACCCACAGGGATCATCCAGTCCAGCCCCAGCCCTGCCCAGACCCCCCAACAGCCCCACCCTGGGCACCCCTGGCAGCGCTGTCCCAACGCTCCTGGAGCTCTGGCAGCCTCGGGGCTGTGCCCATTCCCTGGGGAGCCTGGGCAGTGCCAGCCCGTTTGGGGAAGAACCTTTTCCTAATATCCAACTTAAACTTCCCCTGGCAGCTCCAGCTGTTCCCTCGGGCGGAGCTGCAGCTCTGCCCTCAGCCTGCTCCAGACCATGGGAACATCCCTAGGGCTGCTAAAAACTCCACAAACTTCTTTCTGGCACTGAAGAGACCACTCAGTATGCCAGGGAACAGGCACAGGCTGCACCGCGGAGCACAGAGATGGCATTCCCAGCCCGGAGCACAGAGATGGCGTTCCCCGGGCGGTGCTCACCGAGCAGGCCCAGCGGCCGGCCGGGGTAGCGCTGCTCCATCACCCGCTGCAGGGCGTAGCTCAGGTCCATGCTGTGCCGGGTGATCTCCTCGGGGGTGGCCCCGTCGGGGAAGGCCTGCCGGGGCAGCTCGGAGAAGCGGATCTGGGTGCCGGCCCGCGGCCGCATGCGGGGCAGCCGGGCCAGGCCCTCGGCGTAGCTGCGGCACTCGGCGCCCGGCGGCGGCCGGCGCTGCCCGGCGCGGTCCCGCGTGTGCCGCCCCGCCGCCTCGGGCAGCACCTCGGCGAAGGCGCAGATCTGGCCGCTCTCGGGCTGCAGCTCCTCGGCCGCCGCCTCGCTGATGAAGCTGCTCAGCGACACCCACTTCTTCAGCGTCTCGTAGGGGTAGGGCCCCAGGAAGGGGTCCAGCTCCCGCAGGCTGTCCCGCAGCGCCTCGCCCTGCTCGGGCGGCTCGGGCCGCACGGCCTCGCCCGCGGGGTCCCAGCGCAGCACCCGCACCTCGCGGCGCCGCAGGCTGAGGAAGCGGCCGGAGCGCGGCCCCGCGTCCCGCCCGCCGGCGCCGGCCGCGCTGCAGTGCACGAAGTGCAGCCCCGGCGGCACCATCTTCACGCCGCGGAACCGCGGCCCCACGGCCCACGCGCTGTAGTCGATGCCGAACTCGGTGCCCTCGGGCACGTCCAGCACCACCACGGCCGCGCCCTCGAAGAAGAGCTGCCGGGCCAGCTCGGGGTCCGACCGCAGGGCCGCCATGGCCGGGGGCACCGAGCGGCCCTGCCCGGATATCCGGCACGGCGGTTCCGGGCACGGCGGCGGGAGGAGCCTCCGCCCTGCCCGGCCCGGCCCGCCCGAGGCCGGGGAGCTCCCGGGGCCGGGTCCCCGGGCCCGGCGCTGCAGCGGTGCCCGGTGGAGACGGGAAATGCGCCCCGATCGCACCCGGCTCGGTCCCAGCTCGGTCCCTGCCCCATCGCCCAGCCCCAGCCCCCGGCCCGGCGCTGCTCCCCTTCGCCTCTCCGTGGCTCCCCGCTGACCCGTTGTCCCCAAAGCCGATCCCCAGACCCTCCAGCTGCCTGCCATTCCCCTGGGCCCCCGTGCTCCCAGCCCCGCAGCGGGACAGACGGACAAGAGCCGTGCCTGGGGCTGATGGACCGAGAGACCCCCCGGCAGAGACCCGCGGGGACCCTCACTGTGACACACGGACCCTCGGGAGGACAGACACCGCCCCAGCACCACATGCTGCCTTCCAGGACAACGGACAGGCCCGGGGTCCCCCGAGACGGGCAGTTCCAGCCCCTCCCCGAGCATTCTCGAAGCCCCTTCGCTGCCCCCCGCCGCACGGGCCCCAGCTCCCGACCCCCCAACACCTTCACCGGCCCGCTGAGAGCCCACCTGCAGAACTGCGCCCGGCTCTGGCTCTGCAGCTCTGGAGGCTGCGGAGATGTTGGAAAGAGTCCAGAGGTGCCCGTGGGGACGCTCCCAGGGCTGGAGACCCTCTGCTCTGGAGCCAGGCTGGGAGAGCTGGGGGTGCTCAGCTGGAGAATTGAAGGCTCCAGGGAGAGCTCAGAGCCCTTTCCAGTGCACAGAGGGGCTCCAGGAGAGCTGGAGAGTGACTAGGGACAAAGGCCTGGAATGCCAGGACACAGGGACACAGGGAATGGCTTCCCACTGCCAGAGGGCAGGGATGGGTGGGATATTGGGAGGGAATTCTTCCTGTGAGGGAGGTGAGGCCCTGGCACAGGGTGCCCAGAGCAGCTGGGGCTGCCCCTTGATCCCTCTAAGTGTCAAAGGCCAGGTTGGAGGGGGCTTGGAGCAGCCTGGTCTAGTCAAAGGTGTCCCTGTCTGTAGCAGGGGATGGAACAGGATGAGCTTTATGTTCCCTTCCAGCCCAAACCATTCTGGGATTCTGTGATTTCCACAGAAAATTCTTCTCTTTACACAAAGCCCAGTATTTCCATGTGCAGTGCTCCCGTTGCAAAGCTCCCCCTTCAGTTCTCCATCATCTCAGTAGGAAAGAGTTCACTGAGCCTCAGGCTGATTTAGCATCAAACACATTTATTTCACTTTTATTGAATACAAGAACAGTGAGCACACACGCATACACCACCGAGCACTGAAAAGGAGTATGACCAAAGGAGGAGAAGGAGAACAAGGGAAGAGAAAAGGAGAGTTAGTGGAGGAACAACAGAGCGTTGCAGTTGGTCGGTAAGGTGCTTCTCAAATAAAAATAAATATTATTATTATTATTATTATTGTTACTGTTATTATTACTCATGCAATTGCAGGCCAGGTTCAGAATGAATTTATAGGATTGGGTAAAAACAGGCACTCATGTCTCCCACCCCTTTCCACAGAAAAGGCCCCTGGAAGCAAACAAGCAGTGGCCAGCTATCTGAAACAGAGCGTGGTGATGGGCAGGCTGGGGCTGAGCAGCAGTAAGCCACACCTCGCCAGGAGAACAAGCAGTGAGCTTTTTTTCTTTCCTTTTTTTTCCTTTTTTTTAAGAAAAGGTTTTGACAGTGCCACCCATGAACACACTGCGGGAGGCAGGGGCTGCTCACTGCAAACAGAACTCACAGCAGCCCAAGCACACAGGGAGCCTCACTCTGTAAGGCTGCTCAATCCCATGGGAACCTTCGCTTCCCAGGCTGGGCACAACCCCAAAAGCAACTCTGCAGGGTCACAGCAGCCTCGGGTGGGCTGTGGAGGTGCCCCAGCCAGGTGGGCTCCCCCAGCCTGAACTGTGCCAGGTACTGGTGAACCACCACCCCTGGCAGTGCCACTGCTGGGCACGGCTGGCTGGGGTGCATTGGGAAAACAAACGAGAGAAAAGAGCCTCTTTGCAACTGCCCTAAGTGCTGTCAGGCTGGGGCTGTGCTCTCTGGAGGCGCGTGGCTGGCAGCTGGGGATGGGCACTGGCACTGGCAGCAGCCCCTTCCCTTCCACACCTCTCTGCCAGGAGAACACTCACTGGTGAGCAGTGCCAGGGAGCAGCTCCCTGCTGGGACAGCGCAGGTGGGAGCAGGCTCTGGGTCTGCCCACGGCATCCCCATGGCTCTGGTGCTCCTGCTCGGGCATCCTGCGAGCCCTGGCAGGGCCTGGCAGAACACACCTGGTCCTGGGCACAGCCTGTGTCAGGGGTGGGAGACTAAAGGCAAAATGGTGCAGAATCATGGGCCCTTCTGTTTCTGCAGGAGCTAGAGACAATTCCAAGAAGGAAACCCATTTTTTTTCCTTTCCTTTCCTTTCTGGTTTTGGTTGGGAGCCTACCTGAACTGCCTGGTTCACAGTGTATGGGGCCCTGGGCTTGGCCCACGATCCCCTTCCAAAGGCAGCCCTGGAGGAGCCTGTGGCTGAAGGCTGAGCTGGGAGCAGCTCCACTGACACCTCCTGGGCTCTCCCATCCAGCCTGGGACGCTGGGGACACTCTGCAGGGATGGACACAGCATGCTCCCTGCACTGCCCATCCTTAGGCAGATAGGGGAGCACTGCCATGGCTCTGCCAGCTCTTTGCCATCACAGCCCTGGTAGTGGGGGAGGCAGGGCACAAACAGCCCCTCTGCCTTTGACCCTACTACAAAACTCAAGTACCTCCTTTACTGGGATCCAGAAACAAAGCAAACCCACCCCACCCACCAGCAGGGCTCCTGCAGGGGAGCCCCGAGCCCTGTGGCTCCCACCTCGCTCCCAGCTGACCCCGTGGCTCTGGGGGGCTGGGAGCCCATCCTGGGAGCCCATCCTGCCTATGGCTGTTGGAGCTGGAGCCTTCCATGCCCCTCCAAACCTCACCACCACACAGATCACCAGCAGGACATTCCTGTCCCTCACCCTCTCCCCATCCCCCCCAGCCAGCAGTGGCCAAAACCTTTCCCATTCCTTCCTGCGGGACTCAGAGTCCCAGTGTGATCTAAGAGTCTCCAAGTACACCAACCACAGTCAATCCAAGAGTCAACCATTTTAAAATGTCGGCATCGTCCGTACCAGCACTGTTGAATTATTTCAGCATTGTTCCCTCCCTCCCCCTCTGTTATATAGAATAATATACAGAACTGAAATGCACATCCATATGAAACCCTACAGGCTGCTCAATAGAGATGAGAAACCATGTACATATCATTTGCTTTGTTTGAAATGAAACCCATTCCTAAATACCTTCAGAGAACAAGAGGTTGGACAAGTGCACAGAGAAGATAAGGAAGGGAAGTGGGAGGAGTTAACAGAACCCCCAAAAATGCAAAAAAACCAGCACGGAATGAGGAGAAGGGTGAAATGACACTTGCGAATTGGAAAATAACTCTAAGGTCATAACTTGAATGTTTTTCTCTCTTCTTTCCAGAGGTGGGGAATGGTTTTGCTTCTGCTTGTGTTTTTTTTTTTTACTTCAGTTTGCTTACTTGCTTTGTTGCAAAGCAATTTTCTTTTCCATTCAGTGTGCAACAAATGAACTCATGATTGTGTGTCCTTTCATGTAACATGCAAGATGGTGGCTTATTGTATTGTTACCAAGATTATTGTTATTATTATCGCTTTTTTAATCTGATTTGATCACTAATCCAGGAAATTCTTCAATTTATCTGCGGAGGGTTGGCTTTGTTTGTTGGTGGTGTTGTTTGCTATTCATTTCCAGCATGTAGCAGCAGTGCAAGGATGCATTTTGTTTCCTGTTTTTATATATATATATATATATATGTGTGTAGGTATGTATATATATATATAATATATTTGCTATTCCTTTTTTAAAAATTTTTGTCTCTTGCCATGAACATTGCAGCCAGGATGTCTATGTCTTGCTGACAAATCCAGCATGAAGGCTCCTTCTCCCCTGTTCTCCAGGTTGGAATACAGATGTTGGCTTCCAGGAACATGTTGGTCAAGATTCCTGTACAAGGCAGATGGAAAGGACCAAGTCATGGAGTGCCAATCCGTGGAGGCTACTCATCCACTGGATAGAACCTCTGTAAACACTTGGGGCCACAGTTTGCATGTAATTAGCAGGAGCTCTGGTAATCAGCAGGAATTCAGGCTCTGGGCTGGTGTTGGTGCATGAAGGACATGAGGGAAGTTGCCACTCCCTCACTTTAAGCCATTCAACTAAAATTGGGTGGATCCTATGGATGCAGGAGTGTCTGGACTTGTTTGTACTGTGGGACAGGGTGAGGCAGCTCCACCAGCCTCTCATGACCTTCCCAGCTGCATTGCTGGTTGCTTTTCCAGGCCTAAAACTGCCAATCAGAACCTTCACATGATAAAGAAATGGAAAATCCCAGTTCCGAGGAGCCTCTCCAAAAGCACCTACAGCCTGGCTGCTGTCAGAGCCCCTAAACTGTTCCCTCTCCTCTCCTCCTCTGTTCCCACTGCTCCCACACAGGGGTCTGGTGGCTGTGCCAACCCAGAGGAGCTGCATCTCCTGGTGGACAGGGGGAATGGGGTCAAAGAGGGGATTTAGGGTGGGGCAGGACTCCCCAAGCACCAGAGAAGTGTCTGGGACTGTGACAGCTTTGGGGTGTCTGCAGGGAGGTGCAAACCTTGTGTGCTGCTGCCTACACCTGTGTGTGTATACAAATTCAACCTGGGGATCTGAGTGGGACTGAAAGCCTGTACAGTTTTTATAAAGAAATTATCATTTCTGCCAACATTGTTCTGATACTTTGGCTTTGCATAACCTGTAGCCAAGTGCCTCAGCCTACTCACAAACCTGAGGTCCCTCATTCCCTTCCCACCCCAGGGGGACAAGGAGGTCTTTCCAGGTCCTTTCCTTTTTACACCAAATGCCTCTG